TCTGGACACGGTGGCAGAAAAGTGACTTTGGAAAAAGAAATTTCCTTTTCTCTGGTGTGAGATTTTTCTGGGCCGTGGTGTAAGGTCAGGAGCAGAAATTGTGTCTTAGGTCTCTTAAAAGACCTGGAAAATTGGAAATTGGGGTTGGTTTGATGGCAAGAACGGGGCTGGAGCTCCTGTTCAGGGGAGAGCTGGAGAAGGATCCAGGGAGAGCTCAGAGCCCCTTCCAGGACCTAAAGGGGCTCCAGGAGAGAGGAACTGGGACAAGGGATGGAGGGACAGGACACAGGGAATGGCTTTGAGCTGAAGGAGGGTGGGTTTAGAGGGGATTTTGGGCAGGAATTGTTCCCTGGGAGGGTGGGCAGGGCTGGCACAGGGTGCCCAGAGCAGCTGTGGCTGCCCCAGCCAGGGAAGGCAGGTTGAAATGTTTCAGGTTGAAATGTTTCAGGTTGAAATGTTTCAGGTTGAAATGTTTCAGGTTGAAATGTTTCAGGTTGAAATGGTTTTTTCACCTGAATGGGTTTGATTTTATCATCCAAGACTTCCCCACACATCCCTCTTCCCAGGTGCTGGTGAGAGAAATGGGATTTAATTATCCAGGGGAAAACTCTGGAATATTTCAGGGTTTGTTCTAAGCATTCCACCATTTTCTTTTCACCATTTTCTTTTCACCATTTTCCTTTATTTAGGGAAATTTTTGTTTGCTACAACCCTGCCAGAAGTTCAACCCCAACTCAGCACTGGGACCCAGCAGATCAATCTTCCCAATTTCTCTTTTCAGCCTTGTCAGGCTCCATTATTCTCAACACACTTGGACAGTTGTGGGTTAAAAAGGCATCAATTCCCTTTGGAAATGACCCTTTCCTGTAGGAGCAGCCCCATTCCTGCTGACCCTGGGAGTTCCTGGTGCCAGGATGGGGTTTGGAGGGGGAGGATGCCTCAAAATGTTGCATAAACTCATTTTACTGCACCTGGTGGCAGCCATCCTTCTCAACCAATTTAATTTTTAATGGAGCTGGTTTGTGTGGGTTTACTGGGGCCATTTCACTCCTCTTGGAATCTGTAAAGCCTGGAAATATGGAATTCTGTCCCTGCTGGATAACGACTTCTGTGCTGGGCAGAAAAACAAGTCCCAGTGGTGACCTCAGAATTTCATCTTTGCCAGTAAAATACAATCAAACCTTTGCAGGTAATTTTGTTTTCTTTGGTTCTTTTGTTGTTTGGATTTTTTAAATAATTCTTTATTAATTTATTTTGGGGAAAAATAAAAAAAATTAGGAAGGGCAGGATGGGTTTCTCCAGGAGATGGTTCAGCAACAGGTGCTTAAAATTTCCTTCTGCAGGAACTTCCCTGTGCATCCAAAATGACTTTATTTGTAAAGGTGATATTTGCCACCTTTACCAAGAGAAACAAAAAAAACAAAGAAACACCCAAAACAAAACAAAAACAAAACCAACCAAAAAAAAACAAAACAAAGAAACACCCAAAACAAAACAAAAACAAAACCAACCAAACAAAAAAAAAAAAAAAAGAGGCAAAAAAATTCCTCCATTGTGTCCCATACCTATTACTATATTATAAAAATCCCAATTTCAAAACCCTTCACCATATGAAATCACACACTCCTATTTTTACTACACACCCATCATTTTACCTCTATCACTCAAATTTAGAAGCCTTCTCTAAAACCTCAAGTCAAAAACGGCTCCACCAAAAAAAACCCCAAAAATCCCAGGTTTCTGATATCCAACATTCATTGATCAGTACCTGGATGCTTCCGTGGGGTCTGGGTGGGCAACAGAGCCAAAAATTCCGATTATTTTATAGCAAGAAGTGATTGCAGCTGTTTTGTAACAATTCCTACCTGCAGCTGGTGCATCACAGGTAATTAGCTGAGGTCTGGGTTGCAGCAAAAACCACAAATTCTCCTTTTTCCCCCATTTCATTTCTTCATTTCTGGCTGGGTGTGCCCCTGTGTCTGCTCCTGCAATCACAGCCTCCCCAAAATCCTCCCCGAATTTGCTTTTTGTGCATCTTTTCCCTGCCAGGGGAGGGTTTTGCTCCTGGAAATGTTGGGATTTTATTCCTAATTGGAAAATAGGCAGGGGAAATGCCAAGCAAACGTTGTGACCCAACGACAGAACTGTCCCAGATTCTCACGTCTTGTTTGGAAATTTGATGACAGCCTCGTTGCCCAGGGGTACAACATAATCACTTCTCAGTTCACTGAGATGCTCTCAGCAGCTGCACTCAATGTGTTTTTATCCCCACTGCTTGTAAGAACACTTCTGAATTCTTCACATGCACAGGGAGAAATAAAAAAAAGCCCAGCTTAAGCGTAGAATGGCTGGAATGTTTCATTCTGAATGTAAATATGCTTTGAAAATGATTTTTTTTTTTTTCCCACCATCCAAATCCTTCATTGATGATGCTGGGTTTGTCTTTATAAGCATTAGCCCTGGATAACACCCTCAGAGCTGCTTCTGTTGTTACATCTGCCAAGAAAACTTGGGAATGTGTGAGCCACCATTTGCAAAAAGTTCCTGGAATTTCCTGGAGCGAAATTTGAGTTTCACATTTGTGTCCCCCTTGCTCCAGGAATCAGGGAACTGCTGGGCAGCACCTGCCCCAGCCCTGAGACAAAATTGCCCTCAGAACTCCAAAGATTTTTTTCTGGCAGTTCTGTCCTTGTCCCATTTGAAGCTGCAGCCCCCAAAGTGAGTTTCTTATTCAGGAGGGGGGAGATTTCTTTCTGTAAATCAAATTAAACAGTTGGATACATGATGTTGGTGCAAGTGTTTTAAACCCACAGAAATCCAAGATTTTCATACCAGTTTTTCTCTCCCATGCAGAATCTCTGAATCTTTAAGGTTGGAAAAGCCCTCAAAGATTGAGTCCAACCTTCAACACCTTAAATCAAATCCTGGGTGTTTTATTTTAATTTTCCTTTGCTGTTGTTTTCTCTGTTTTCACTGCCATGGCCCTGGCAGATGCTGCTCCTGACGGGACCTGCTCTGGTACTGCAAAAAAACCCCAATTTTATGGTTTTTTTTCTGAAAAGCAGTGTCTGGAAGAGCTCTGGCAGAGGCAGGGGAAGGACATTTTAATGATGACATTTCATCACCTCACCGATGTCACCTCACTCTTCACACCCTGGCACTAATGGGAGGCATTAAAGGAGCTTCAGAGGCCTGAGACTGGCCCGGGGTTTTAGCAAATGCATCCAAAATCACAGAATAATTAAGGTTGAAATTATTGAGTCCAGCCATCCCCCAGCACTGCCAAGGCCACCACTGCCCCATGTCCCCAAGTGCCACCTCCACAGGGCTTTTGAACAGAGCTGGTCCAAAAACCTGCAGCTCATTGCAGAGGGAAAGCAGAATGAAAAAAAAAAAAAAAATTAGATTTTTAAGTGTTCAAGACCAGGTTGGGCAGGGCTTGGAGCAACCTGGGACAGTGGAAGGTGTCCCTGCCATGGTGGGGGGTAATTGGAATGAACTTTAATATCCCTTTAATATCCATTATGAGCCTTTGATAATGTGATTTTCCATCCCAGACCCATTCCTAGTGGGTTTCTACTTTAGAAAAAAAAAAAAAATAGGGAACTTTGGCTGCTGCTAAAAACACCCCAAAAAGTGCCCAAGGGTGGTTGTGATGTCAGTGCCCATGCAGGGACACCTGCTTGCTGTGGGATCTCCAAAATCCCAGATAGAGCCAGGGACACCATTCCTTACTGATCCTGACTGGGATTAGCTGCTCCTGCAATCAAGTGGGTGGGACTCAGGTTTTTTTGGGTTTTTTTTCCTGCAGGAAAATCCCTTTCTTCATTCACACAGTTGGTATTGATAGGAAATCTCAGGAGGCACCGTGTCCACCCCAACTGGCCAGCAAAACAAAACTCAGTTCATTGCTTTGGAAGGGCTGTTGAATAAATTCTATCCAATTTTCTCTCTCCAGATATGTTTCCATATTTTCTTCACTGATTCTCATGGGACAGATTTCTTATTTTTGCAGGTGTAGACTGTTTTTCTCTACAAGAATATTTTATTGTGTTAACTGGCTTTTCATTCCTCTAATTTTTCCTTACAGGAACTTACAGGCCTGTAATCTGTAATTCAGCAGAGCAAGATTTTATAAAGCCTTTCTTTTCTAATATCTTTATGTAACAAAACCCAGGCATTATCTTTGCCTCCAACCATGATTCCATCCATCATTTCTGCCTTCACTGCTCTCCACAGCTCCAGTGCAGCTCTGGCAGGGTGGGAATGCTGCCCTGCAGCCTCTGCCTGCTTATTCCTCCTCTCCTCCCTTTTTTTTTTATTTTTTTTTGAGGGTGGAATAAAAACCCTTCAGCACTTCCAGACAAATTCCTGTTCCTCCAGCTTTGTTCCATGTGAGCAGCCACAGAATTTGTACAACCAATTTTGGTAGAACCGACTCCTTGCAAACACTGTGGTATTTGGCAGAGCAATTAAAATTTGTGAGAACTTTATTCCTGTCAGTCAGGTCATGTGTTGGGCTATTTATTTCATCCAGTCCCTGTGTGAAATGCCTTCATTTTCCAGCATTCCTGGGATAATGTCACTTTATTCTGAAATTTATTTTTATGGGTATGGTTTTGCACCATTTTTTTGCATTCTGCTTAGTTGGAATGAGTGCATTTAGCCTCGTGCTCAGGCTGTTGACAATGAGAACGTGCCTGAAGAAATGGAAATCAAGCTGCTGCAAATCCCAGAACCATATTTTACAGGATGTCACTGCCACATGCTTTACCCAGGCTGGGGGCAGAGGTCTCATCTGGGGACATTTTTCTATGTCAGTGCTTTTTCTAAGTGACTTTCCCCTTGTAATGATTTCTCTTCAATTATTTGACAGGCAGTGCGAGTCCAGTTGCTGAAATCCTGGAATTTTCCATCATGATTGAATCTGCATCCAGCTAAACATCACCTGAGGAGTCCTGAGCTCCCAGCCTGTCACAGCTCTCTGTTCCACAAGAAAAGGAGACTGAAAAACCTCTTCTTCCCCAGGTAATTCCTCTCATTCACGCTTTTCTAGCTGCAAGCTCAGACTCCAAACATGTCCATCCCCATTTCTGTGGGCATTAGGGGTGGATAGGGATGGATGGGAATGGTCAGGACAGACAAATGGAGCCCTTCATGGAGCCTGGTGTAGGAATTAGTTGGAATTGCTTGTCTGAGCACAGAATTATTAAAACCGAGGAGCTGAAGTCTTTGTGGGAGTGTTTTTCCAGTTCTCTGCTCCTCCAGGACTGGGCTGGATCAAACACAGGCTCAGAGAAGTTCTGTGTAATGAGATGTCACAAACCAAATCAAAACATTGCAATGATCCTAATTATGAAAAGAAATGTGAAGCATTGCAAAATAAATCCTGGAGTGAGGGAGAAATCACACAGGCTTAGAAGCAAATAACAAAGGGTTCCATAATACAGAAAGCCTGTTTGAAATTAAAATCTCAAATAATTGAGGCACTTCATTTACAACTGGACACATTGTCCCAGGCTTTTCTAAAGATTCCACAAAGGAAAATCTGCTCCATGATCTGTAACATGCATAGCCCATATGTTTGTACACATTTGGTGTCTCTGGTTGTCAAATTTAAATCCTTTTTTGGGGTGACACACAGGACTGGGACGTGCACAGAAATATCAGACACAGGACTGGGACGTGCACAAAAAATATTGATTCATGTTTTTCTCTTAACACAGAATAAAATAATCCCAGAAAACCCCAAAGCCTGAAGTGCTGATGGGTTTTTCCAGGGGCAAAGTCAGACAAAAGAACACACAGAGTTTTCCAGCAGCAGCCCCCAAGGCAGCAGAATCACCTTTTATTTCCAAGGATGTTTCAGTCCAGGCATTTTTCAGTTTTCTGTGCAGCAGAACAGGAGAGGGGAGCAGTTGATGTAAAGGGAACCTGTGGGGGTTTTTTTAGGGTTTTTATCCAGAATTCTTCCTGGAAAATCCTGGTGTCTGACCTGCTAACCCTATGAGATGGACACAGGCTGCTTCTCCAATATTTTGTGATGTTTCAGTGCATTGCTCTCCTTAAAAAATATGTAGAGACATTTATTTGCAGAAAAAAATGTAGCTATTAAAAAAAAAAACCAAACCTACAACAAAACACCTGTGGCTTGTCCAACACCATGTGAAAGTCTTTTATCTGGTTGCTTGACATTCTGTTTACTTGCTCAGCTTCATCACAAAACATTTCCTGGTGAAACTACAGAATTGCTGTCCAGATCTATTTTGTTTTATTTTTTTTTTTCCTTGACATGGGATCTGTGCCTCCTGGGGAAACAATAATTTTCTCCTCTGCACTGAAAATCTCCTCTGCTGGAGGTTTGTGGTGAGATCCTCTCTGCTGGTGCTCACAGAGTGTTTGAGCTTTTGCTTTCAGGAGGGGGAAAAAGAAGAGAAAAGTGAATTTGGGGACTCTGCTATGACTGTTCGGGTGCAGAGATTTCTGCTGTGGGACAGATTTAGTGCAGTTGCTTTGGCAGTGCTGCATGGTTTGCTTGGAGTGCCTAAACAGATGGAAAAAATGGATATAATTTGGTTTGGTGGCATCCCTGGCATTGCTGCACTGTGATAATACCTTGGAGCTGTGTTTGGGTTTAAAATGAGCCTTGCCTTTCCTTTTTCCTTCCCCCTTTCCTTTTTCCTTTCCCCTTCCCCTTTCCTTTCCTCTTTCCTTTTCCCTTTCCTCTTTCCTTTCCTTTCCATTTTTTCCGCTTTTTTTTCTATTTTACCCCTTTTTTCCCCTTTTTCTTCTATTTTTCCCTTTCATATTTCCTCCCCTTTTCCACTTTTCCTTTCTCCTTCCCAGTCCAAAGGGGCTGGTTTCTAACAGGACACATAAACTCCTGTGCTCTCCTAAACTGAAATCCATGGCACATTCACCTGTGATGGGATTAATTTCACTCCATTCATTATGAATATTTTCTCCAGAAACTGACTTTCTGAAAATCTCAAATCACATCCAACCACAGCAGAAAAAAAAAAATAAAAAAAGGGAAAAAGAAAGTCCAAGAAGTTACAGTTTAAATACATGTTAGCAATCAATTGGCTGCAGTTTCCTGGAATTTTCATTTTCTTTGAGCAGTTGTGAAGGAGCTGAGTGTGTTTTTAGAAGTGCTGGATACAACAACCCTCGATGGTGACCCAGCCAAAACCCCAAGGCTGCCTTGCCCTGATCATCCAAAACTCCAGATGACTTTTGGATGCTCAAAAATCTGATGCACGTATATGTTGGCAATAAAAAAAAAAAATAAAACCCATTAGGAATGGAAGACTATTTTGCTGTTCTATTTAACAAGGAAGATGCTGTATAAATTAGTAAGGATGTGTATAAACACGATTTAATAAATGTGAGAAGGAAGTTGTTTCCATCCCCCAGAATGGGGAGTTTATGGCCCTGTGCAGTGTAATTAGGTTTAGATGAGAATGAGCACCATAAACTGAGCAGGGGGGTGGAATTGTGAATTCCGGGGGTGAACAGGACCCCACTGAGACCCTGAACTGCAGAATTTGTGTCAGGGGAAGGGTTTTGGTTTGGATTTTTGAATTGAAAGACTGGGAAAAAAAAAACCACAGGATTTTCTCCTGGACTGGTGCAGCTGAAATTTTCTGTTTAATCTCAGAACCCCGGGCTGGTTTGGGTTGTTGGGACTTTAAAGCTCATCCAGATCCACCTCCCACTGTCCCAGGCTGCTCCAACCCCAATGTCCAACCTGGCCTTGGGCACTGCCAGGGATCCAGGGGCAGCCACAGCAAATCTGGGAATTCCATCCCAGCCCCTCCCCACCCTCCCAGGGAGGAATTCCTTCCCAAAATCCCATCTAAATTTACCCATTTTCAGCTTAAATCCATTCCCTGTGTCCTGTCCCTCCATGCCTTGTCCCCAGTCCCTCTCCAGCTCTCCTGGAGCCCCTTTAGGCTCTGCCAGGGGCTCTGAGCTCTCCCTGGATCCTTCCCCTCTCCAGGTGAGCACCCCCAGGTGTCCCAGCCTTTTGTTGAGACACTTTTCCATTGAACCCTTTTTTCTCCCTCTTTCCCATGCACCTGAAGGGATGATCCCAATGATTCCTTCACCGTCCCTGTTTGTCCCTTTTTGACCCTTCCAGGGGAGGGAGGCTGGAGCTCCTCACCCCCGGGGGATGAGCAGAACAATCCTGCCGAGCTCAGGGACTGCACACAGACCCTACAAAGGCCCTGTAGCTCGGGATTTAAATCCTGCAGGGATCTCAGCCCCTCTTTTTTTTTGGCTCCAAGGCTTTCAGAGCACACGAGTGGCTGCAGGAGGTGCCCTGGGAGCCTCGAGCACGAGCTGCAGGTTTTTAGCATCTCTTGCAAAGCCTGAATTTTCTCTCTGTTTCCCTGTGTTGTTTCCCTGCCCGTGACCTAAATTATGAGGAGAAGATATTAAAGCCTGGATTTTAACTTAAGAGCTGACTACACCCACAGGAGAAATTAAAGCCCAGTGTTGTTTTTTGATTGAAGGTAAGCAAGCAGTGAAGTGATGCTTCTTTCCTTGTCTAAATGCTGCCAGCAACAGGACACTTGGAGCAATATCCTGCTTTTCTTTATGGCTTTTTGTCCTCTAAAATCAGGCTGATACCCCAACCATGTTTCCATGGCAGAGGTTTTTGGAACAAGATGATCTTTAAGGTCCTACCTGGTGTTCCTGCTGTAAGTATCAAATCCATTCTTTCTTAAAATAGGCCAAAAACTATCCCAATTTACAAATGTTTAATCTAAATAAATGCTCTGAGTCCTTGAGTAACCCCATCTCCTTTGATTGTAGCTCCTTTATCTCTACTCAGCCAATTCTTCCACCTGCTGGCAATATCCTAATGGATTTAAGCTTTGTCCTCAGCTGAGGAATGAGATGCTCAAACGCTCTGTATTTACTGTTTTGGGGCAGAGCTGGTTGCTGCCGGCCCATGAGTGACTTTACATTGGATTTGTCCCTGTGGAAGGAGCAGGATTTGATTCCTGCAGGTTCCCCGGTGTCAGGATTCTCTCCCAGACAAGGTGCTAAAGGTGTATCCCGAGGCAGAGGTGTGGAATGCATTCCAGTGATCCCAAGGAATGGTTTCCCGGGCAACTGGAACATCTTCAACATCCACAGCAGGGAGTGGGGCCTGCCTGGCCAGCCCTGCAGCAAACCCCCTTTGGAGGAGTTTGGGATGTTTCCTCCCTGAGTTAAGGTCATTCCTGGCCTGAGACTGTCCTGAATAAAGAGGATTTGCCTGCTCAGGACACGAAGTTTGTGTGGGTGCTGTGAACACAGAGAATCCCAGCTGGACCAGGGCTACCCCTCCCTGCAGAGAAATAGTGAGAAAAGAGAAAAAACCCACATGGCTGGAAGAGAAGAGAAGAGAAGAGAAGAGAAGAGAAGAGAAGAGAAGAGAAGTCTCTGGGATAATCTTCTTGTGGCCTTTCAGTGCTTAGAGGGGCTACAAGAGAGCTGGAAAGGGATTTTTTTAATAGGGCAGGTAATGATGGGGAAATGGGGAATGGCTTTGAATTGAAAAACCTCAGGGTTGGATGGGACATTGAGGGGAAATCCTTCCCTGTGAGGGTGGGGAGGTCCTGGCACAGATTTGCTGTGGCTGTCCCATCTCTGGAAGTGTCCAAGGCCAGGTTGGAGCAACCTGGGATGGTGGGAGGTGTCCCTGCCCATGGCAGGGGGGGAATGGATGAGGTTCAAGGTCTGTTCCAACTCAAACCAGTCTGGGATTCTATGAAAACATCACTTCATGCAGCAGAAAAAACCCACAGTAAATACATTTTGGTTTGGTTCTGTGTTCATTCTTGCAGAAAATGGGACTGAGCACAGAAGGACAGCAGGGAACATGAACTCCACGTGAACACAATTGTTCTTCTTCCAAGTCCTTCCCCAGCCCCTCTTTATGCTACTCTACCCCAGATGTGCCAGGGAGGTTTGGGGAGAGGTTGGGAAACAGCCCTGGAAAACACAAAGTTACCCAGGTCTGTGTTTCCCAC